ATCACTGGGGCACCATGGTATATTCGCAATGAACACATCCACAGGGATCTCGGCATTCCTGCAGTTAAGAACGAAATAGAAAAACAAAAAGCGTCATACAAGGAAAAACTCTCCGCCCATCCAAATCCCTTAGCAAGGGACTTGATACGAGTTTCCAGAAGAAGCCGCCTTCTACGTAATGACTGCTAGTTAGGTAGTATTGTAAGATTTGATACACTTATTGTTAGTCTCATAAATGAGAAGATTCAATAAATAAAAGCAAAGCAAAAAAAAAAAATTCCTCGAAAATCTCTGCTTTGGGAACATTTATAAGACAAGGGGCTTAAATGGTGCCCTTAGTTTACCAAGATGAGCAGATTTCCATCGCTCATAGTAGAGATCTTGGAGGCTTCGTAATAATTAGAACTATCGACATGTATGCGTTAGAAATACCATCCTTAGAAAAACTACTTCCGTATTGACTGTGAATAAAGGCAACACGCAAATAAATTGAATCTGAACGTCTTTACTTTTAATAGCCTAATCAGGTTTATTCATGGTGTTAAAATATCAATCTTTGATTAAGGCGGAACACAATGGAGCGTGTATTCCCTGAAAAAGACTGCGCAATGATGGCAAACGAGTGGCCAAAGTGGAAAAGATAATTCATCATGTAAGTTAATATAAATGATTATCCCAATTGTAAATTGCCTTTGACAATTGATGTCTCCTCGGGTGGTTCCTTGCAGTTTCAGATAATCCAAAGGGTGCAGGTGACAAGGTCCGCCGCTGGGGTTGCTGTCCGGCTGGCCGAAGAACTCTCCAAGATTAATTATGAATTGTGACAGCAATTTCGCCGGAGCGAGCCTTCGGACGATCGGTCATTACCGTCGTTAGTTAAATTAGTTAACTTGTATATGATGGCGTCAGGCGTCAAAGACGCAGAACCAGAAGCGAAGAAGATCGCTACATTTCTCTGGTCAGCTGGAACAAAAGCTACGGAAATATACAACATGATATTTCCCAACGACGGAGCTGCACATGGCATAGTTGGTACAGTGCCGGCATCCTCAAATGCATCTACACTACTGGCCGAAATAAAAAGTACATGCGTATGTGGTTTGTTTCAAATCCTATAAAATTTGTGTAATAAACTTAAGAAAAAAAATCCCACTTTATTTTTAGTTTCCGTACTTATTCCAGATAATAAAAATAACTGCCTAAAGGATTTTACATTTCAAATTTAGAGACAGGGGTCAATTTTATCCAAAAAGCATGAAAATGGGTTGGCCGAAATAATAAGTACAGCCATCCTTCTAAGCCTAGAACTCGAAACGTATTAAATATTTTTCACTTCTTTCTGCTTATAAGTAAACTTGGATTAGCATCCAATAAAACCACTCTCGTTTTAGGTAACTTTCGCTATTATTTTTGGCATTCTAGCAGGAAGTCTGTGGCAAGTCAGTACTAGAAACTAGTCTAGTCTAGTCTAGTCTAGGCTTTATAATCGTTATAAACGTACCGGTTCTCCTACTGTTCATTCAAGATATCTTAGTGCTCGGTCGAATTTCACCTTGCTTAACGCCCAGTGTTATAAAAGTTATTTTACTTGCTGTAGGGTTCAGTTCACGCAGTACCCGAAAAAGTTGTATAACATTGTTAACACTATATGAGCTTTTGACTTCCTCGCTTTCATTTAACAACACTACAGCAAACTCTTATCAGGCCATCTCTTTGCCGACTTTTTCAAAACTACTTATTCTTTCTCAAATATCTTAGATCAGACTTACTCTTTTGATTTGCCCAGGTCGAACATAATTTTCAGTCCTATTTTAAACGAAAGCTCCCTCAGTTCGGATCTTCATCGTGTAAAAAAAGTTTAGTCACCAGGCCCCGATGGAATACAAGGCTGCGTGCTCAGGTATTGTGCTGGAGCTCTGTGTAATCCCCTTCTGAAATTGTTTACCTTATCTTTAGAAACCTCAGAATTTCCCCGTATTTGGAAGGAATCATTTATCATTCCTCTTCACAAAAAAGGTAGCAAATCGGACGCCAGCAACTATAGAGGACTATAAATTGTCGGCAATTCCTAAACTTTTCGAGAATATAATTACTCCTCACTTGCAGCATTTATGCAGATCCGTAATTTCTCCATGTCAGCATGGTTTTCAGGCGAAGATCGACCACTACAAATCTCCTGGAAGTCACCACTTTCGTTATTAGAGGCTTCCAACGTATCTTTCAAACCGACGTAATTTACACAGACTTCAGTAAAGCTTTTGACTCGGTTAATCACTCTCTTCTTGTAAGGAAGCTTGACTTAATCGGGTTTCCTGTCGATCTTCTTAAATGGATTTTGAGCTATTTGAGTGACAGAACTCAAAAGGTTCTGTTTAAAAATGCTCTGTCCAAATTCCTCAGAGTCACTTCTGGCGTCCCACAGGGTAGCCACCTCGGCCCGCTGCTATTTACATTGTTTATCAATGACCTCCCGCTGCAATCGGATCTAAATAACTTTCAAGCATGGTGTCGTGCTAATTTATTACATCTCAATAGCTCTAAATGCAAGCTGATGACATTTTCACGTGTCACTCCCAAGTTTGCCAATTATAGGCTAAATGCTCTTGAAAGAATATTTCTTGTTGACGATTTAGGCGTTCGCTTAGACCCTAGGCTCTCCGGTTCTGGCATCGCTAAAAGATGCCTCTAGGTGGAAGCCAGGCGAACTCCTTGCCTTTGCGAAAAACACCTTGAGCTTCAAGGATCTCGAAACCCACATTGTTCGGCTGGGGGGAAACTGGTCGATTCCGTTCCGTAGGATGAGCACAAATTATTATAAGAAAACACTCCCGCGCCGCAGTCGTAGAGAAACCACAGAAGTATCACCGCACGAAAAAGGAAAATCACCACCAAACGAAATGAAGTAGTAGGCCGGGGGGGCGTGGTTAATTTCAATATTCAAAGAGTGGACTTGGTCCGCTTTATTAGAGGTTCAATATAGGAATTAAATGTACAAGTTGGAGTGAGAGATCAGAACCGCCGATCGCCCAGAGTCAAAAGCCTCCGCTAGAAGAGCGAGAGAGCAAGCTGCGCAAGAGCGCAAGCTGAGAGCGAGAGCGCGCTGAGGAGCTTTGCAGAAGCGGGAGCGCTTCGGAGTCGCGCGGGGGGGGAAACGAAAGCTCCTGACCTGAACATTCCGCCCCCCTTGCAATCACTATGGGTTGCAATAAAGTCTGCTCCTCATTACGGCGTGTGACAGGCCCCGGACAGGACCCATCCGAATACGGTGCTTTGGGCCACCGGCAATCCATCCTGCACTTTCAGGAACCCAGGCTGCATAACTTTGGGGTACACATCCGCGCCCAGGATGACGGAGATCGTAGCCGGAAGGTAGAACCGTTCATCAGCCAAGGTGATGTCCTTGAAATAGGCCCGCACAGTCTCATCCAACTGTCGGATCGGAGTGCGGACGCGCACATGAGGCTCCACTTTGAAAACGAGATCGAGCCGGACATGGGCGTTCGTTTTCGAGCCGACGGTGGCTGAACAGATCTGTTCAGCACCCACAGCTGTCGTCGCAAGTCGCAAAGAAGTCGCCAGCGACGCGTCAATGCAGCTCATAGGCGTGCATGGGTCGATGAGCGCTGCTGTGTCGAACACTCGCGTCCCGGTGTCAATCCGCACCAGAGCGGTCGGGAGGAGGTTCACGCTGTGTCGCTGAAGCAAAGTGGCCAGTGAAGGCCCTGTCGGAACTCCCTGCGTGGCGAATGCCGCGGTTCGTGGAGAGGCCGACGAATGCCGTGGAGAGGCCGAAGAATGCCGAGGAGAGGCCGCAGAGCGCCGCGGAGAGGCCGAAGAGCGCCGAGGAGGGGTCGCAGCGTGGTGAAGAGAGGTCGAAGCGTGGTGAAGAGAGGTCGAAGCGTGGTGAAGAGAGGTCGAAGCGTGGTGAGCAGAAGCTCGAGCGCGACGAGAGGGCGGCGTCAACTGACGCGAACGACGTAAATACAGCGGCTGCTCCTGCATATGCAGCAGTGTGTGGTGCTCTCCGTTGCAGATCTTGCACCTATCGCCACGGCGGCACGCTCCATCCGAATGCTCGTGAGCCAAGCAGTTGGCGCAATAGCGGTTCGCGAGGACCGCGCGGAGCCTCTTTTCGATGCTCAGCCGCAAGAATCTGCGGCACTTCCGTAGAGGGTGGACTCCGTGGCAGACTCGGCAACGGTAGGAATTTATACCTCGTGTACGTCTGCTCTCCATTTCGACGGCGCTACGTAGACGTGGGAACATTGTTTATAATCTGGAGTAGGATACAAAAAAAAGAATTAGTATGGAGTCGAAAATATGACTTAGAACTAGCGAAAGAAGCAAACTACGGAGTGAGGATACGGCTAGTTATTGAGATTTTTCGGAGGTCGCCCCCGGAAGCAATACGACTTTTGCGACAGGGCGCTTAACGATTCCCCGAGCAGTACGAATATTTACTACTCGGACATGACCATCGGGTCCGGGAAACATGGAGTCAATCCTGCCGAGCCGCCACTCATTGGATGGCAGATTATCGTCCTTGATTATAACCATCTCGCCCACCTCGAGATTTCTTGTGGGGACTTGCCACTTTGTTCGTTTGTGGAGCTCCTTGAGGTATTCTTCCTTCCATCTCAGGCGGAATTGCTGATGAACGGCCTTAAGGTGCTGCCACCGGTTGATAATAGAAGTGGACGCACCCTTAATTTCGGGTTCGACGGTGGCGAGAAGGGGTCCCCCTACGAGAAAATGACCTGGCGTGAGTGCTAACAAGTCTGTGGGGTCTTCGGACATCGGGGCGAGTGGACGCGAATTTAGACAGGCCTCAATCTTGGCCAGCAATGTGGAAAGTTCTTCGAACGTATACTTTCGAGTGGCTGTGGATTTATAAAACAGCGTCTTGAAGCTTTTAACTCCATCTTCCCATAATCCTCCCATGTGCGGGGCTTCTGGTGGTATGAATTGCCACAGGAGTTCCTGGTGACTATAAGCATTCGTCACGGATTCCTTGACCGCTTGCAGAAATTCACGCGACAGCACTGCGGCTGCACCAACAAAGGTCTTCCCATTGTCTGACTGAACTTGTCGAGGGCACCCTCTTCGCGAGACGAATCGGGCGAATGCTGCGAGAAATTTCTCTGTTGTGAGGTCAGAAGTAGGCTCCAAATGGATGGCCTTCGTGGAGAAACATACAAACACCAACACATAGCCCTTGGTAATCAGGCAGGCTCTCCCGGTGTAGTTCTTTTCTTTTTTTTTTTTTTTTTTTTTTTTCGCGCGGGGTCCCGCTTCCACCTCCCGCCCAACCGACCGAGGGGCGCAGCCGCGTGACGTACGGCACGAATCGCGAACTAGATAGACGCGGTGAATGAAAGAAGAAAAGAACGAGGAAACGTTACGAGAGTACACAAATAATAATATATAAGTAAAAACGCATGCAAAATAAATATAAAAAATATAATATAATGTAACTAAATAATAACTACGATAAATAAATAGAAACGCATGCAAAATAAGTATACAAAAATAATATAATGTAACTAAATAATAACTACAATAAATAAATAAGAACGCATGCAATAACTACGATAAATAAATAAGAACGCATGCAACATTAGACTACGGTGATACGCTACGAGCTAACTCAACAAGTATTAAAGTTTTTAGTACAGAAGGGCTATCGCTACGAATTATAATGTCAGAGAGGCGGTTGTAATCCGTACATAAAACCCTAAAGGGTTCATGTACTTCAAACTCCCGCCTACAGTGATTTACTACTAAAGGGATAAGGGTTCTAGATGTTAGTCGGGGAACGTGGAAGCTAAGCTGCCCTAAAAAGAAAGGGGCTCTCAACAACACCGTTTATTAGGTTATGAAGGAATACGACACCAAGCATCGTTCTACGGTTAGCTAGAGAGGGTAAGTTAATTAATAGGAGTCTACTTGAATAGGACGGTAGCCTCTCATCCGCATCCCAAGGTAGGCCACGGAGGGCGAAAAGTAAAAAGTTCTTTTGTACAGATTCGATACGGTTAATATGGATTCCGAATTGAGGACTCCAGACGCATGAACCATACTCCAATATAGGGCGAACTAACGAAGTAAGAAGGGTCTTCGTTATATAAGGGGAATCGAATTCCTTCGACCACCTCTTAATAAAACCGAGCATGCCTTTGGCTTTATTAACCATGCACGAAATATGTTCAGAGAACGAAAGTTTAGGGTCTAAGCGAACGCCTAAATCATCAACAAGAGATATTCTTTCAAGAGCGCAATCATTTAGCGTATAAGTGGCAAACTGGGGAGTGACACGTGAAAATGTCATCAGCTTGCATTTAGAGTTATTGAGATGTAATAAATTAGCACGACACCATGCTTGAAAGTTATTAAGATCCGATTGCAGGTATGACTGGCAAGAGCTGTCCTTATACTGCACGCATAGCTTAACGTCATCAGCGTACATAAGTACTCTAGAATTCGTTAGAACCAGCGGGAGGTCATTGATAAACAATGTAAATAGCAGCGGGCCGAGGTGGCTACCCTGTGGGACGCCAGAAGTGACTCTGAGGAATTTGGATAGAGCATTTTTAAACAGAACCTTTTGAGTTCTGTTACTCAAATAGCTCAAAATCCATTTAAGAAGATCGACAGGAAACCCGATTAAGTCAAGCTTCCTTACAAGAAGAGAGTGATTAACCGAGTCAAAAGCTTTACTGAAGTCTGTGTAAATCACGTCGGTTTGAAAGTTACGTTGGAAACCTCTAATAACGAAAGAGGTGAGTTCCAGGAGATTTGTAGTGGTCGATTTATATCAAACGGTCCGGCATAATCCATGCCCGTGTACATAAAAGACCGCGAAAAGGACGTTCTTTCTTTTGGTAACTCGCCCATGAGTTGGGTCTGCAACTTCTTTTTGTGGATCACACATATTTTGCAGGAGAAAATTACAGACTTGACTAAGTTCTTGACCCTTGGTATCCAGAATTTTGAGCGGATCAGGCGTACCATTAGCTGATTACCGCCGTGCAAGGAGATGCGATGCGTAAAGGATTCATCATATTGGAGGACTTCGGAGGCCGTCACCCGACCACACGCCCTGATGAGGCCGTGAGGATCAAGGAAGGGATTCATGTTCTTAATAGAACTGGATGCTGGAATTGGCCGCTTTTGGCTCAGGCAGGCATATTCAAGCGCAAAGTATCTGCGCTGTGTTATGAAAATTAGGAGTCGCTCAGCTGTGGAAATCTCTGTATTGGATAGCTGCAGCTCGCCTGGAATAGGTCGTTTTTGCGAGCGCTGGATGAAGCGCTGAACATAAGCGAAAACTCGTAGTGCCTTGTCGAGCTTGGAGAACCGCTCGAGCATGTCCTGCTCCGGGCATGCTAAATGGCAACGTATGGGTCGCTTCTCGATGTCGATGTCGGAAACTGATTCATAAGGTGCAGGCCAGGGGTCTTGTGGCTGAGTTAGCCATGAAGGCCCATGCCACCATAGCTCACTGGTAGCCAACTCTTCAGCCGCTACTCCACGACTGGCTAGATCTGCTGGGTTGTGCTCGGAACGCACGTGAGACCACTGGCTGGCATCAGTATTTTGAGCGATTTTAGTGACTCTATTTGCGACGAAGGTCGTCCACTGACATGGTGGCTTGTTCAACCATGCCAGCACAATAGTGGAATCAGTCCATAGAAAAGATTCTATACGACCGAAAGGAATCTGAGGCAGAATTGCAGTCCACAAGTCTGCCAGAAGGACGGCTCCACACAGTTCTAGACGCGTGAGCGAAACGGTTTTTACCGGAGCGACTTTGGTCTTTGACGTTAGAAGATTTGATGAAATGATTCCATCACGCTGGATGCGAACGTAAATCGCTGCGCCATAAGCCTTTTGGGAGGCATCGCAGAAACCATGGATTTGGACTTGTACACCTGGTTGAAAATGTACCCAACGCGGGATGCGAACTTGGTGGAGGAAACTGTAGCTCCGAAGGAAATCATGCCAGCGATGTAGTAGTTCTGCAGGAAGAAACTCATCCCATTCGACGCTGGCCAACCAGATATCCTGCATTAGAATTTTGGCCTGAACCACAAATGGGGAGAGCCACCCAGCTGGGTCGAACAATTTCGCGATTTGGGATAAGACGTCGCATTTCGAATAGTTTGCCTGAATGGTGACCTCTGTTGGGACAAAATAGAACTCATCCGTCGTAGCGTTCCACCGTACTCCCAATGTCTTAGTGGTGCTGACCTCTTCGAGATCAAGAAAATCAGTCGAAAGTAGATGCTCTTTAGGAAGTGCTTTAAGGAGTGCACGTTCATTCGATGTCCACTTGCGGAGAGGGAATCCAGCTGAGTCCAGAGCTGCTTGCAGCTCCCGAATGGCTAAAATAGCTTCAGCTTCTGTATGGGCTCCTGCTAGCACATCGTCGACATACATATAATTTGAAATTATATGCGACGCCCGTGGATATTGGGCGTTGACATCGTCGGACAATTGTTGCAGTGTTCGTAGGGCCAGGAAAGGGGCACAATTCACTCCAAACGTGACCGTCTGAAGCTCGAAGTCGGATATATCCCCTTGGCCATTTCGAAAGAGAATTCTCTGAAACGGAGTGTGCTCTTGGTTTAGGAGATTTTGCCGATACATCTTGGTGATGTCGGCATTGAAAACGAATTTAAACGTCCGCCACTTCAGTACTGGCCCTGGATACAGAATGTCATTAAGGCTGTTCCCATTGGAAGAAGGACTGGATGCGTTGAAAACTACGCGAACTTTCGTGGTCGCACTTTCGTGGTCGCACTTAAATACTGCATGATGGGGGAGATAGAAATTTATCTTGTCGGTATTCGGAGGCACCGGCTTCATATGTCCAAGATCAATATATTCTTGGATCACTGAGTCATAAGTGTCTTTGAGAGCGGGCTCCTTCTTCAAGCGAGTCTCATTCCTCAGAAACTGTGCGAGTGCGGAACTCCTGGAATGCCCCAAGTCAATGTGCTCTGAATCTTTGAAGGGCAGGGATACTATATATTTCCCGTCGCAGGATCTGGTAGTTGTTCGGACGAAAAAGTCTTCACACAACTTGTCCGTCTCCTTTACCAGTCTACATGGAAGGTCCTCCACCTCCCAAAATTTTGTGAGAAGTGTTTCCATGGTTGCTTCGGACTCTATGGATATCTGTGTGGTAAAAGATGAAACCCTACTAGTGGTTGAAGACAATGGGCCGGTCAAAATCCACCCGAAAATGGTCTCTTGCGCTAATAAAGACCCACATACGTTTGGCCTCCAGCCCGATAGCAGGACAGACGGAAGAATATCCGCACCTAGAAGAAGGTCTATCTGAGACGGCTGGAAAAACGACGGATCTGCCAATGGCATATTTGGCAGCCTATCAAGAATGTTTCGATCAATTGTGCTTGTCGGAAGATTGCCGGCCAGGTTCGGCAGCACAAACGCCGTCGTGTCGATCTTGAGCATAGGTTTGGCCGGAGTGCCTATCTGGAAATGACACATTTTTTGTGAGACACCGGAATTGGCTTGGTTGAGCCCTGTGACTCTTGTTGTTACGGCTTGAAATGGAAGTTTAATCCGGTTGGCAAGCCTCTCTGAAATGAAAGTGCCTTCGGAGCCTAAATCTATCAGGGCACGTGCTGGAAAATTCTCTCCTCGGTGGCACACATGAACTATGGCCGTACCTAGAAGTACTCCTTGTTGGTTGGAGGCGAAATGAACTGACGTGTTTGAGATTGGCTGCTCTGGAGGGTGAGCCGGCGCTGTGCTAACAGCGTTAGACGGAGTATCTTTGTGCAAGAGCGTATTATGCCGTCCCCTGCATGTGAAGCAACTATGCCTGCTCGTGCATTCACGAAGATTATGTCCCCTTGCAAAGCAATTAAGGCACAGTCTCTTTTGTTTAATATATGATGTGGTTGAGTCATCTGCAAAAAACGAGGACAAAGCCGAACTGGATGAGGCTCTCTGGAGCAGAGATCACAAAATCGTGCGCGTGACCCCACTTGTGTCTCGAAGGTATTTACCCTCCTTGGTTGTGCACTTCTGGGCTCCCTTGAATGCTGTGTGCTGGAAGAATTGTGTCGGACATCCTCAATTGCTTCTAACGTCCGATATCTGTCCTCGAGAAAGGAATTCATTTCTTCCCAGGCTGGGATCGCGGACTTATTGGTCAAGGACTGCTCCCATAACGAGAGAGTGACCTTTGGCAACTTGGAGGAGATTAGAAAAATTAGAAGGCAGTCCCTATTTTCCGTGGAAATTTGTGAATGCTCGAGGGCTATCAAGCACCCTTGGATTGTGCTCTGCAGATCTTTCAAGGCCGTGCCTGATTCACTGGCTAGGGTCGGAAGACTAAACAGGATTTTTAGTTGGCTGTTTACCAACAATCGCTTATTTTCAAAGCGATCTTGAAGCGCTGACCACGCGGATTGGAACCCATCATTAGTCAGCGGAGACTTGGCCACAATGGCGTGAGCTTCGCCGCTAGTTTTTGGCGTTTAAGTGGAAAAGCTTTTCCACTGGAGTTAACCTGGAATTGTTTACATAAATGGCCGTAAACAGGTCACGAAAGGTGGGCCAGCGCAGATAATCTCCGTCAAAGATCTCTGTATCGCATGGCGGAAGACTGCAACCCCTCGAGAATGTCTCTGTCGGCGGAGCTGTTCTTGGCGGTGAAGTGGGGGCGGACAGACGGTCGATGTCTTCATTTAGCTTCGCAGCACATCTTTCGAACACCGCATAGCAGTGCTCATATTTGTTTTGAAGTAATGGAAGATTTCCGCTACCTCCTTCGCGAAGAGCTGCTTTGGAAGCGGTTTCGTACTCCCGTTCAACCTTTTCCCATAAGGATTGTATCTGATCCAGACGGATTTTTAAGGTAAACAAGCTAGGCTCGGAGGAGGATGCCGTCAATATCTGGCTTTCAAATTTGCTAAGACGGTCGCTAGTTGCTATGAACTCAAGCAAAATGACGTCTAAAGTGCTCTTGGCTTTGGATCTCAAATTACTTGACGGTCCCGCGCCCGTGTTTCTCGGACTCGGTTCCCGCCTTTGACTTCCATCTATTGAAGGCGCTAACTGCGCTCCCTCCCTCTTCTGACTCGCGTCTTGCGGAATTGGTTCTTGTCCTTCCGACATTTTTTTTTTTGATTGGATTGGCAAGAATATGCCGTAGAATTCGAATGTTAGACTTAGTTGTGGTCAATACCGTCAACTAAATCGCCGAAGTAGAAATGTGAGACGGTAAAAACGAAGCGAATATGGATTGCAAGAATATGCCGCAGAACTAGGATGGTAGATGGTAGATGGCGGAATTAATCAATCTCAGAATTAACCAATAAAATTCGAATCGTAGAATTATTTGCTCCCAATACCGTTAACTAAATCGAAGAAGTAGAAATGTGAGACGGTCAAAACGAAACGAATATGGATGGCAAGAATATGCCGTAGAACTCGGATGGTAGATGGTGGATGGTGGAATTAACCAATCTCAGAATTGCAAGTAAATAAACTGGAAAAAATTTACTTGACGTAGAAGCGACGAGAATGGAAAATTTATTTGTAGTGGAGCCAATATTAATTGGAGCAAATGCGACGAGAATGGAAAAATTCAATCGTAGTGGAGCCAATATTAATTGGAGCAAGTGCGACGAGAATTTAAAAATTTATTTGTACCAGATAACTCATTGCTGGACGGAACTGCCGAGTTGTTTATTATTTTCGTATTTAATAATAAGCCAATAAATGCAAAGAAAATATATATGGAGTACCCTTGACAATTGCGGATATTTAATCGCGTGCAAAACTTTAAAAAGTATTAAATGAGCAATTAATTGATTAATTATTAATTAATAAAAAATATTAATTATAAGGAAAAAATAATTCGATCGGAATGGTGGGATCGAAACACCTTACACCTTTTTCCTCAACTCAATGTTCGTTGGGATGCGCTGCCGGCAATGTAAAGCTCTTAGTTATGTATGTATGTAAGTATGCAGATGTCGCGACGGCAGCGGAACTATGTATGTAAGGCGCGCCAATAAAATGCAGAAAAAGGACGGACACTGGCTTACAAAATTTTGCTTTAATATTTTATTCTTTATTTATTATGTTTTATTTTCTTGGTTTTAAAAATGTTGTATGTAAATGTATGTGGATGGGGAAAAAATATAATATGGAATAATATGCGTTTTATCTGGAGAAAATATAATAATCAGGCCTGCTCCGGTAATCGTAAAATTTTTTCGATTTCGTTTTGGGCGAAAACGAACCGTTTTCGTTTTTAGCTGCTCCGGTTTTCGGCAAATTTCTGCTATCGGAGTGGTTCGTTTTCTCATCGTTTCTCACTGCTCAAGCAGCTAACTTGTGTTGTTGGTAATAAGCAAACAACGTAAAGTACTGCCTATTATATCTACAATTGCCCTTTTTCTAAGCCAGAAAAAGGCAAAAAATGGTCGAGTTAAGCAAATCTAGGCATCTAAGATACTGCCACACTTTTCACAGTTTTAATTCCGGTGGTCTCAAATAATTATTTGGTTAATTTGGACCATTTAAGTAATCACATTAAATAGCATTAATTATAAACAACCATTTTGGCGGTCCTTTAAAGTTATTAATGTATTCATTTATATTTTATAAGTATTTTTAACTGGCTGTTTCGTTCCACCAACAATATGGCAGCCTTGGCGATAACTTTTTGCCGTGAACCTATCGACCTATCGCCAAAACGAGAAAACTGGTTGAACACGGCAAAAATGTTGTTGTCAAATCTGAGGTGGGGTCAGAAATAAATTTTTTAAAAAATAACTACGTACCAGAATGATCTTGTGGTGGTGTGGAATAAACATCAATAGACCACTGAGTAAACTATTTTTTTCCTTTTGTAAATAAGATCTGATTTCATATAAAAAAAGCCATTTACTTTTCATTCCGGCCAGAAAAAAGGTGCCCGTTTTTCAAATCGAAAAAATCTTTCGATTTCGATTACTGGAGCACCAATTTCTCGTTTTCAAAAACGAAAACGAAAAATTCTTGCCGTTTTCGATTACCGGAGCAGGCCTGAATATATGTGTATATATGGATGTTAGCAGCGGACTGTATTATTTATTATTAGTAATTTTTTATTATCGGAATCTTAATATATTTTTTTTTTTTTATATTGTGTGAAATAAAATCAATGTCTTTATGTAGACCGATGTATGGACATATGTATGTATGAATTTTAATTTTGTGTCGGAACCGTTTTGTACATTGATGTACGGATAAATGCCAATATGTATAGATGAAAGCGGACGAAAAAGAATATGGCGACGTTTAAAACGGAGACGGATTGAAAAAAATTTGCCAATTTTATGAAATGAAAAATAGGAAATGGAAAATTCCTCAACTGCCGTTGTCAGGAAAACTCGCTCTTGGAGTCGACACGGAAAATTAATCTTGCAGCAGAGTGACCGAAATTAATTGTTCGGACTACTGCTGAAGACCGGCAGTGAGGGGGCGACGGAATAGTTCGTACTTATCTTGGGAAATAAGAAACGCCGAGAACTGCTGGTGAGGGGTTGAAAAATCCGGAATCCAGAAAAAATCCAAAAATCCAAAATCCGGCTCGAGGAACCAAAATGTTCGGCTGGGGGGAAACTGGTCGATTCCGTTCCGTAGGATGAGCACAAATTATTATTAGAAAACACTCCCGCGCCGCAGTCGTAGAGAAACCACAGAAGTATCACCGCACGAAAAAGGAAAATCACCACCAAACGAAATGAAGTAGTAGGCCGGGGGGGGCGTGGTTAATTTCAATATTCAAAGAGTGGACTTGGTCCGCTTTATTAGAGGATCAATATAGGAATTAAATGTACAAGTTGGAGTGAGAGATCAGAACCGCCGATCGCCCAGAGTCAAAAGCCTCCGCTAGAAGAGCGAGAGAGCAAGCTGCGCAAGAGCGCAATCTGAGAGCGAGAGCGCGCTGAGGAGCTTTGCAGAAGCGGGAGCGCTTCGGAGTCGCGCGGGGGGAAACGAAAGCTCCTGACCTGAACACACATAAATAGTCTCTAGATCGATCCAGGAATTTCCCCGGATAGCTAGGCCATATTGGCCTATGCGTAGCCCGCCGTTTATTCAGTTTGATGGCTTGCGAAAGAGTGAACATAGGAAGAGGGTAATAAAGAGACCATACTTCATTATACTACGAATGGAAATGGAACAACGGTTTATCGAATTTGAAAGTTTCTTTACAATATTGCCGCAAGGGCACCCCAATAGGGGGTGACGGGCCTGACACACCCGCGATCCCTAGTCACGGCACAACAATGGATATCACAAGGACTAACGGCAGGACACAACTCTTTGATTTCGACGATTACGGGCTAACGACTGCGGCATTCTGTTACCTTAGTAAGCCAGAGTGACATCTGGCAGATACGGCTTTCAGGACAATGCCTCATTCGCCTCCGTCCAAATAAAACCTAGCAAGTCTCTAAGTACGTTCCAGACGCACACCGACG